TACCGTGCCAATGGGCGCTGGAATGATCAACAGAACCATGCACACCTTTCACTCACAATGATGAGCAACAAAACCTCTGCGAAACTTGCTATAACTTGCTCACACAGCGGCGCAGAATGCACTGATGCCCCATTGACCTTTCAACTGCCACCTCAAGCTCTTCAGACCACGGCACAAGCCTGAGGCTTCAAAGGCAATTGCCAACAGCGCCAAGGACACTGCAAGCACCTCGGGTTGAGTGATGAGACTCGGACGCCAAAACGTTCAGGGCTTCATAGCTGCCGATTTGAAGCATAGAAGGTCTGTGAAACTTTCTTGGTTGAGGGCTCAGGGTTCGTCGCGCGGCCGGTATACGGTAAGGATTCGGCTGTATCGTGGACGCGCGATTGTTGAACACATCAACAGGTCTCGTGCGCTATCTCCGTTGGCATTTTTTTTGGGCCCCCAGCTGCTTTAAACAAGACTGTTCAAACTCACTATTAAAGCCGCCTTCAGTCTTCAAAAGGCTTCATCGATTCATCGCAGCATTCAGTGGTCTCAGGCCAGCTGGCAGACTTAACAAGCCTCACCTTCAGCTAGCTCCAGCTGAGGCCTTTGCCACTCGGAGCTGACGGCGACTTCGCTGCAAAGGCACCATGCCGAATACCGTGCGAAGAAGGCTGCGCAACTTCAAGCCGCACAACTCAACAGAAGCTTGAACGCCGAAACTTCACATATCCCATGACATCCCATGATTACAAGCTGGACCCACTCTAAATACCTGCTGACACGGGAGCCATTGATGATGTCTTGGGCATCAGACTTCGAAATACTGACGGGCTACCAGCCAGTCAAGAACACTGGAACAGAGGTGAGCAGTTCGTCGCGTCGTCTTCATCTCTGCGCACGACTGCACGACTTTGCATTGCTGTGCCTGGAATGCCACAGTAGCATGAACTCTGAACAGATGAACAAGAAACCAGCTTCCGAATATTCATATGAATGTGTATATTATATATATGTATATAGAGCGAGAGAGGGTAATGCACATGCTACATTCTGCAAGGCCGTCTTCTAGACCGTTCGTAAACCCGTCAGGCCCAAACCCCAAATCTCTAGCATTCCTGTGAACCTTGAAACGATTGGCCGGCTTGAGCCCTCCATTCCCTATATCCATGAACCCAGTCGGGAGGATTGTCACATGGATCTGCCGTTTTGATCGCTTCACATCGGGGCAAATCCTTTGGGAGACTTGCGTCTCGGCTGGCGGCCCGTCTGCACATTGGCAGGCCTCAGTCCCAACGAGATATCCAATCCAGCCTATGGTCGAACCTCCAGCGACATTTCACGACTGGCTCGATCTCATGTTTGCAAGCCAAAGCACAGCATCTCCAGCAGGTCGCGGACCATTGCAGCAGCCATCTCGCAGCTTCTTGTTTCCTGACAAGCATGAGGTGTCCACAAACTTCAAGCTGCCACATCCTGTTTGTGCCGCAAGTAAGAGGGACTACATAGACCCAGCCGGGCATCTCCGGCAACTTTCACCGAAAGTGGCTTGCCAGTCCCTTGCCCACCCCGGAGCGAAACCTGTGCTCCACCTTAGTTCATGCACGAAAAATCAGTCGCCTCCCCCGTTCCTCTCGGCAGATGCTCGGTAGTCCAACGAGCCCAACACAAAATCCTGCACGAGTGCGCCGTAAACATGCAGCCAAGCAGCTGTTGTTCTCAATCCATTTCAGATTGGACTCATGCTTTCCCCCGGCGACTCTCTTTGTAGTGGCACGGAGGTTGCGTCCACGTGGCACGCGGAAGATTTTCTCCTAGGCTTGGACTGCAGCACTCCCCCTCGAACAACAGCGTTCATGCAGATTTTCGCCCTCAAAGCTTGAACAGCCCGCGAACAAGCTTTTTGCCTGCTGCAGGTAAATTAGATCTATAGTGAAGTGTAGGTGTTGAAGTTGACGATGAATGATGCTGTATCGCACGCCATCATGTGGTTTGCAC